ACACTAACTTAAGATGTAATTATTATAAATCCATTGCTGGATCAGAATTTAACTTTGCAGAATGGCAGAAAAAAAAAGAAACATTGAAATCAAGCAGTTTGCTTAGTATGAGTTAAAAGAATTTTCAAATTTACTTAGTCATTGGGCATAGCCTATCAATACTATCATTAAAGGAGGCGGCTGTCATAAGTACATGGTAGCACACGGAATTTCATTTATGTTACTGTATGTATCTTCTTTACCATCCATTTCCCCAACTCACTTAACTTTGCGTTTGGACCTTGGTGAGAGAAAATGACAGTACTCCATCCATCCCTGTGTCATGGTGTTGATTCAACTTCTCCTGTAAGCTTTTGACAAATGGGAGAAGTGTTTAGCAATCAGAGTCAAAGAGGCCTTCATCCCTATCCTATGTTGATGTGAGCCTTCCTACCCCCACTGATATTGACCCTGCCATGTTGATAGCAACACATTAGTAGACACAGCAGAACTACAGGCCATAGTCAAAAGCTCACAGAGGGCACAAAGGAAAATACTCTGCAGAAGTGAGTATTTGTAAGATAGTTTTGCTTTGGTTGACTGTAGTTTTGCTTTACGTAAAGATGCAAGGCAGTGAGTACCACCCTCTTTTCATCTAAGATTTAAACCTCATACAGCCTCTGTCTCCAGTCTGATTACCACTCATGACAATAGGGAATTTAGAGTCTTTGTCATAGAAATGATTGTTTTGTGTTAGGCTTAGCTATAGGACTTGGCAAATGTATGGGAAATTTGAGACAATTTTACTGTGGTGGAACTCTAAAAGGTACTCACAGAGAAAAGTAGTGCACGTTTCAAGAAAACTTGACCAGTAGACAGACAGAATCCTTTGTTTTTAATGCTAGGACTTAATTTAAATATATATATTTTCTTGGCTAAGGAATACGGAATGATGCAGACTTATTTATGCAGTGGAAAATAGTTTTCCATTGAAATTAAGTTAGAACTGTGCTTCTTGTTTAAACTAATATCTGAAGACTTTAGTCATTTTATTATTCAGTAAAATTGATGAAAATCTTAAGAAAATGCATTAGAACAGTCCTGTGATGAATAGGAAACCTGTGATTAATAAGGAAAAGTGAGAAGGGACACATGTTGATCTGTTTATGTATAAGGGAGCTGGAGCTTACTAGAAATTTTTATGAACATTCAAATAATGAACCATTATATAAAATTGGGCATTTCCTTTAAATAAAGGAAAATTAGTAAAAGTTACTAATCTGGGGAAAAAAAAAAACTTTCAATGTTGTATCTAAATAATTTATTTATGACATTTTCCCTACAGAGGTAATTTAAATATAAAATATTAATTTTGTAATAAGGAGCATTCTATGAGAATGCCTCTCACGATTTCTTGGTGGAGTTTTCGTCCTTGGTTCTTAGATTTATTACAGGACAGAGTAGCATGAATTATCTTCATTAATTCCATTTTATGATTACAGCAGGTATCTGATAAATTCTACATTGCATATTTAACATTATTCCACTTTAAACATTTTCATTTGCAAGAGGTTGTAGGTAAAAAGGAGGGATTTTAAGTTCTCTCTATGGCATAAATGATGGAGAAAACAGACACAAGGAATTTATGCACAAATAGGAATCAAGAAGTGAACTTCAACAATAGTCCAGACAGGTTTGCAGCACCCTGAAGTGCAGTCCGTGCTCTCTGGTACAGCTGAATTGGGGAATATGGCCTTGATCCTTGCTTCTATGAATTAGCAGGAAAAGGGAGAAGAATTCCTCTCAGCACTTTTGCCTCAAGTATAAATACATTGGATCTTTATTATATTGTACATTCTTTGGGCATGTTTTAGGTAGAGTCTTAGTATCTTTAATATCCTGATTTCTTTTTACCTGATTCTCTTTAGTTTGGTAGAGAACAACAGTAGAGTGGGAGCAGCATTATTTGTAGTTGTCAGATCTAAATTCAAGTGCCACAGCAAACCCTGACCCTGATCAAGTTATTGAGCCTACCTTGGTCACAATTTTTATCTTTATATATTAGAAATAAAAATATTTACAGGGCTATTTTAAGGAATAGAGAGTATATAGAAAGCAACTTACACATAGTGTGCAATAAACTGTAGCTTTTATATCAAGTTTATTGTCTCTTCTCAGCTGTATATCGCTTTACATTCATATTTGGTGAGCACACTTCAGACAAGCAAAAATCAAAATTATTAATCAAATGGTCTATGGATGTACAATGCAGAACATTTTAGGTTAGGCTTTTCCTAAACTTCTGAATGCTAAATTTTTTGTAGCAGTGCATGGTACGTTGTAAGTGCTCGGTAAATGTTATTTATGTAGTAGTATTTATTTTCATCATTATTTCCTAAACAAATATAAGCTTTGTCTGCATATATTTTATTTTTTTAACGCCAAGCTTTTATCAGTTTTTTAAACCCAAGATTTTATCAGTTTTTTTTAAATACTGTAAGTTCTGAGATACATGTGCAGAACATGCAGGTTTGTTACATAGGTATACATGTGCCATGGTGGTTTGCTGCACCCATCAAACCATCATGTAAGATATTTCTCTGAATGCTATTCCTCCTCTAGCACCCCACCAGCTGACAGGCCCTGGTGTGTGATGTTCCCCTCCCTGGGTCAATATGTTCTCATTGTTCAACTCTCACTTAGGAGTGAGAACAGGTGGTGTTTGGATTTCTGTTCTTCTGTTAGTCTGCTGAGAATGATGGTTTCTAGCTTGACCCATGTCTCTGCAAGGGACATGAACTCATCCTTTTTTATGGCTACGTATTATTCCATGGTATATATGTGCCACATTTTCTTTATCCATTCTATCATTGATGGGCGTTTGGGTTGGTTCCAAGTCTTTGCTATTGTGAATAGTGCTGCAGTAAACATACATGTGCATGTGTCTTTATAATAGAATGATTTGTAATCCTTTGGATGTATACCCAGTCATGGGATTGCTGGACCAAATGGTATTTCTATTTCTAGGTCCATGAGGAATTGCCACATTGTCTTCTACAATGGTTGAACTAATTTGTACTCCCACAAGCAATGTAAAAGTGTTCCTATGTCTCCACATCCTCTCCAGTATCTGTTGTCTCCTGATTTTTTTAATGATCGCCATTCTAACTGGCATGACATGGTATCTCAATGTGGTTTTGATTTGCATTTCTGTAATGACCAGTGATGGTGAGCTTCTTTTCATATGTTTGTTGGCCACATAAATGTCTTCTTTTTAGAACTGTTTCTTCATATCCTTCGCCCACTTTTTCATGAAGTTGTTTGTTTTTTTCTTGTAATTTTTTTTAAGTTCCTTATGGATTCTGCATATTAGCCCTTTGTCAGATGGATAGATTGTGAAAATTTTCTCCCATTCTGTAGGTTGCCTGTTCACTCTGATGTTAGTTTCTTTCGCTGTGCAGAAGCTCTGGAGTTTAATTAGATCCCATTTGTGAATTTTGGTTTTTCTTGCCATTGCCTTTGGTGTTTTAGTCATGAAGTCTTTGCCCATGCCTATGTCCTGAATGGTATTGCCTAGGTTTTCATCCAGGGTTTTTATGGTTTTAGGTCTTACATTTAAGTGTTTAATCCACCTTGAATTAATTTTTGTATAAGGTGTAAGGAAGGCGTCCAGTTTCAGTTTTCTGCATATTGCTAGCCAGTTTTCCCAGCACCATTTATTAAATAGGCAAACCTTTCCCCATTGCTTGTTTTTGTCAGGTCTGTTAAGATCAGATGGTTGTAGATGTTTGGCGTTATTTCTGAGGCCTCTGTTCTGTTCCATTGGTCTATATATCTGTTTTGATACCAGTACCTTGCTGTTTTGGTTACTGTAGCCTTGTAATATAGTTTGAAGTCAAGTAGCATGATGCCTCCAGCTTTGTTCTTTTTGCTTATGATTGTCTTGGCTATATGGGCTCTTTTTGGTTCTGTATGAAATTTAAAGTAGTTTTTTTCTAATTCTATAAAGAAAGTCATGGTTGCTTGATGGGGATAGCTTTGAATCTATAAATTACTTTAGGCAGTATGGCCATTTTTATGATATTGATTCTTCCTAACCATGAGCATGGAATGTTTTTCCATGTGTTTGTGTTCTCCCTTATTTTCTTGAGCAGTGGTTTGTATTTTATTTTAAACCATGCCAAAATGCTTATATTCTCTGCATGTCATTTAGATTTCTGAGCTTGAAACTGTACCTTGAGCTTGGGCTAAAACAAGAATACCAAGAAATTGTCATGAATAGGCAAGAAATACTTTAGCATTGATTGTGTGGAATTCTATTCAGATTGAAATTCAAAACCACCTGTTCTGCTCAGAAGTTTATATTCTCTAATCATATTATTTCATGCACAATTCTCAAGCTTTTACTCTTATGCTTTTCAATTAAGTAATTATAAATTAATGTTTAAAGATAAAACACATGTATCAGTGTTAAGATCGGTTTATTTCATCAGAGACCCAGAGGAAAAGAGGCTTAAATAAGATAATATTTAATTTTTCCTAATGAAATGTTTGGAAGTAGGAAGGTCAAGGCTGGTATGGTAGTTCTGTGATATCAGAGACCCTGGCTCCTCCTTCATCACTGCTTTGAATTCTTAACATTTACATGCTTCATGGTTCACCATGGCTGCCTGAGCTCCAAACATCATGCTCCATCCAGCTAAAAGGAAAGAAGAAAGACGAAAGATGGTGACCCCCTGCCTTTTAAGAACAGCTCTCAGAAACTGTTTTGGACATTTCATCTTATATGTCATTCATCAGAACTTATGCACATGGCCACATCTGTCTGAAGAAAATAATGGAGCCTTTCATCTTTACTCTGGGTAGCCAAATGCCTAACCAAGATTTAGGGATGTTATTATCCAGGAAGGAGAAGAGACCAGGTGTTGGGAACAAGTGGGAATCTATGTGACATTTGGGCTTGACCTGAACCTTTGTCTTTCTTCTCTCTCATGTTTCCTTTTGTCTTATTTTCTTAATAGATCCCATGCGCGGCCCAAGAAAACTAGAAGTAGTGGAGGTCAAATCTCGGCAAATCACTATCCGCTGGGAGCCATTTGGATATAATGTAACTCGTTGCCATAGTTATAATCTCACTGTCCACTACTGTTACCAAGTTGGAGGACAAGAACAAGTGCGAGAAGAAGTAAGCTGGGATACAGAAAACTCACACCCTCAACACACGATCACTAACCTGTCACCATATACCAATGTCAGTGTGAAACTGATCCTCATGAACCCAGAGGGCCGGAAGGAAAGCCAAGAACTCATAGTGCAAACAGATGAAGACCGTGAGTAGCTTTGAATGATATGTTTATGTAAAACCTGTTCTTTCAAAAAGCAACTTTTGTTTCTTTTGAGATCTTTGCAGTGAAGATGGAAGAAAGAACCACTTACATTGTTGAACAACTCAAATATGTATCTGTACTCTATTCTTAAGCCTGATTGAAAGAGGGAAAAGGGAGCAGAGATGTAGAAATGTCATTCTTTATTACACATATAGTTACTTTTCTATATATAATCATTCCATATTGCTCTCAGTAGTTCTTCATTCAAGTTTTATTTCATTGGACTGAAAAATTGTTGTTTTGGGTATTAGATTATTTATATAAAATCATTGGATGGAAAAACTGTTGTTTTGGGTATTAGGTTATTTATATTAAATGCTTATCTAAATATAGTTAAATCACATTCTGAAACATTTTTCATAGTTCAGATAAAAATTCAGTATGAAATAGAGGCTGTCCTTGCTTTTTAACACAGTCTTGAGAAACTTTAAGTTGGTGGTCATGAAATAGATCATTTTTCTCCACAGGAACAATATTGAAACCAGATATTACTTTAATAAATTACTACTTAACAAATAAACCACGCATGTCACCAGTAACTCATCAAAAAGGCAAATATATAGGAAACTTCTATAATAACTTAAAATAGTAAAATTTTGTCTTGAATCTCATAGCATGGATATAAATGTTCTTTTGCACAGATGATACAGGGAACCCTTGTATATAATAATGTATTTATATGGTAAATAAAATACAGTGATAGTATATCATACATTTGACCTAAAATTCATTTTTCAAGCATTCAAGTAAGTGACAAAGAACATGGAAAACCTGTTAAATGAATGAATGGACTATTCGTAAGAAAAGTAGTTGTTTAGCTTTTTGTTTCTTCATGTAACTGATAATGTAATTTTGACCATTGATTACATCGTGAGTTAAATGTTTAGAATGATACCTTTATTGTTTCATTAAAATAACTAAAAAAGGATTTTTGAGTGTTTTTACATATCCACCACCTGCATATTTCTACAGAAGAAAAATACAGAAATAGCTAGAGTAAATGGGGCGCTCACTGCACATCCTCTTTCCTCTGTTATTGTCCCTCCAGTCCTGTTTGTGTTGATTTCTCTCAAGCAGTAGTTTGAGAGGAAGTCTAAGTTTGATGGAAGCCCCTCAGTCAAGGTTGACATCAGAAGCTCTAATTCTTCCAATTCTCTCTCATCTCCCAGGAGAGGAGAAGATGGTGCCCAAATTGTCAGCCAGTCACGGCTGGCTCCTTCCTGCCCTACATTTCTCTACTGACTCTTGTCCTAACTTCTGTTGTTTCTACTTCCAAAGTTTTAGATTGTTCTTTTCTGTCAACTTCCACATGTTCAAATCCTTATTATTTTATGCTGAAATTTCTATAATTGTTTCTACCTTTTCTTTGTGGTTCTAGCTTTTTTCTACTCCAATGCCCCTCCCGCCACCCACTCTCTCACTAACTAATCTGAAAAATACATTTTCATCTTGGCTATCTTTCTACAAGAGTCTTCAGTGGCTATTCCACTTAATCTTCATTCCAGTGCCTTGGCTGTCAAGATCGTCTATATTGTTGACTCATATTCTAAGAGGAATAACTTCTTCTTCGCAGCAGCTTGTCCTGCAAAGCCATCCCTGTGCTGGTCCCTGTCCTACGCTGTGCATCCTGGGCTCCTCATGGTTGCCTAATTGTTCTCCTCAGCCAGTCAGGGCCTCTCCTGGGGGCTTCTCAGGCTCACCCACTCTGCTCCCCACTGAAGCTCTCGTCACATTTCAGGTCCTTCGCAAAGCCGTCTGCAGCTCTTTAGTCCACGTTACACACAGCCTTCTGACCTTATTTGTATTCGTAAGATCCTTAAATCTCTGACCCTCAATTTCTTGATCTGAGAAGTGAGTATAATAACAATTCTTAGTTACATTAGGGATAGAGAAATTTACATGGACAGCTGGTTGTAGCTGCCAGAGAGGGGCCTTTCTTCGTGTTGTAATGATTTGTAGCCACTCATTATGATTCTTCCTTGCTCCCTCATTATTCTATTTATATACATATATTTTTTCTTTTTATTGTAAACTACTTGACAAGAAGTACCATCTGTTTTTCTTCTATGACAATGTGTATGAAATTGAGTAATAAACACGCCAAAATACTTTGTATTTAAATGAAACAATAAAGTATTGTTGATAAGCATTTAATTCATGTTTTAATAAACAACAATGGTTACATCAATGAGATAAATAAAATACAGTCATTTCCAGATATGTATTGCTAAAGCATGAACCTATTGAACACTGTTGGTTTCAAATTGAGAACTGTTATGAGCTAGGAATTCTGTTAAGTTCCATCAAAACATGAGGACAGAATCACTCTTTAAATTATCTTGCTAGTCCCTGAACCTGGAGCACACATTACTTCCAAATAAAAATCTATTGTTTTCCTAGCACGGTAGCATTTCATTAATTAGCAAAAATTTTAATTTCAAACTATATTTTCTAACCTGTCCCTAAAAAAAGACTTCAGAAAAGGCAGAGAGAGGAAAGAAACAGAGTAATTGTCAAACAATACCAAGTTTGAAGAGAGAAGAATTGGTGAATCACTTTGTTTATCCATTACCAAAGGTTACAATTCATTGAACATTGTGAGTTGTATTGTAGTATAGTACTTTTATAGAAATATAGTTTATTTCATCAGAAATTGTGTGGGGGAAAAAATTACATTTTATTAATGTTAATAAAATCCTGTACAGCCCAGGGATAAGTTGTACAAACTTTGATATTATGGCTTTATATCCCAGATCCTTAATTCCCAGAACTTCTAAAAATGGGTACTAGACCTAAGTTACTGTGAGGTACTGTCCTCTGTAATTTAATTAACAGTCGATTAATTATTTATTAATATTGTCTTAATTTTGTCTTTTCCTAACTGAAAGTGATTATCTGAATCCCCCTTAGGGTTTCATGTCAACTATTCCACTGCCATCTATCACAGGGTCTCCACCAATACATTCTAATAAGTTCATCCTTCTACGACATCCTCTGCCTAACATGATTTTGAATACCTTCTATGTCATAGTGCAGTTAGTATTTTCTTTTATACTAATTGAATGAAATGAAGATTTCTTTTTTCTAACTCTTAACTTTCTTTACATTTGCACAGGGATTAATATTTTCAAATAAGAAATATTATCACAAAATAGAGTCACTCGTCCTAGTTATCTTGATGCTGTGAGAAAACTGAGGATGACCTCATCATAAACACTGTTGAGGTTAAGAGGAAGAGACTTAGTTGAGTGTTCTCAGGCATGGCCTGTTTTAGTTCAACTTCTAATTATGATGAATATTTTAGTCTCGGAGCTTGAAATCCAAATTTTCTTGGAACTCACGAGCGTTGTCATTTTTAATGTTTTTTTTTGTTGTTGTTGCTTCAATGTGGTCGTATATGAATTTCTTCAACATAGGACTAACAGTTATCTTTTTATATTTATGTGCTATTAAGGATTTGAATATTAGAATTAACTTGGCTGGGTATAGTGCCTCATGCCTATAATCCCAGCACTTTGGGAGGGGAAGGCAGGAGGGGATTGCTTGAGCCCAGGAGTTGGAGACCAACCTGGGAAACATTGTGAGACCCCATCACTACAGAAAGTAAAAATAAATGAGCCAGCATGCTGGTGCATATCTGTGGTCCCAGCTACTCAGAAGGTTGAGGTGAGAGATCACTAAAACCTGGGAGGTTGAGGCTGCAGTGAGCAATGATAGCCCCACTGCACTCCAGCCCAGATGACAGAGCAAGACCCTGTTTCCAAAAAACAAAAGATCAACTTAATCCAACTTCACTTTAAGAATGAGGCAAATGATACCTAAAGAGGTTCAATTATTTATTCAAATTGCATAATTTAATCATTGGATAGTCTTAAATCAGAACCCAGGCCTCCCTTATGAATCAGTATTCTTTTTCTGCCAAACAACACTTGACTTTAATTGGAATAACTGTAAATGTTCTAGATTTACATAAAAGTAGCTCCTCATCTCAAAAACGGCATACTATCTATGGGTCCTTTTGAAATTCTAGGCAGTCTTTCCAATCTGTGGTAGTCTTAGCAGTCATTAAAAAGCAATTCGTATCCTCTCACAATCTAAAACATTATTTCCAAACCCTTTTTAAAAAGTTTATTGAGATATGTTTGTCCATTCACCATTTGATAAATATTTGGGTTGTTTTCACTTTTTGGCTATTATGAATAATGCTATGAATATTCAGGAAAAAGTTTTTGAATTAACATTTTTTTCACTTGTCCTGAGTACATATCTAGGAGTGAAATTGTTGGGTTATGTTGTAAATCTACCTCTGTTTAACCAATTGAGGCACTGCCAAAGTGTTTTCAAAGTAGCTGCCTGACTTTACCTTCCCTCCAGCAGGGTGTGGGGTTTCTGATTACTCTTCCTTCTTGCAACACTTGTTATCATGTTTTTTTCATTATAGTAATGCTAGTGGGTATGAGGTGATATCTCATTGGGGTTTTGATTTACACTTTCTTTCTAGCTAATGATACTGAGTATCTTTTCCTTTGCTTGTCAATATTTGTGTATCTTTTTTGGAGAACTGTTGATTCAGGTCCTTTGCCCATTTCTAATTGTAATATTTGTTATCTTATTATTGGGTTTTAATATAGTTCCTTTCATATTCTAGATTACAAATCTCTTATATATGTGATATGCAGAAACCCTCTCCCATTCTGTGTCTTGTCTTTTCTTAATAATTCCCTTTGATGCCCAAAAGGTTTTCATTGTGATACTGTATGGTTTATCTAGATTTTCTTTGGTTGTTTTTGCTTTTGGTGTCATGTCTAAGAAATTGTTGCCTGAGCAAAGGTAATGAAGATTTACATGTATGCTTTATTTAAGAGTTTTATAGTTTTCGTTCTTACAGTTAAATCTTTAAACTATTCAGATTTAATCATTACATATAGTGGGAGTTAGAAATCCAATTTCATTCTTGTGTGTGTGGTTATCCAGTTGTACCAGTAGCATTGGTTGAAAAGATTATTCTATCCTTATTGAATTTTCCTGGTACTCTTACTAAAAATCAATTTACTGCAAATGTAAGGGCTTCTTGAGTATTGGGATTCTCAGTTCTATTCCATATATATATATAATGTGTATATTATCTCATTATGCCAACACCACACTGTGTTGATTACTGTAGCTTTACAGTAAGTTTTGAAATCGGGATGTGTGAGTTCTCTCTGACCACTTATTGGTCATTCACTTCATAACCAAACAGTTTGATCATGCACCCCAAAACATACACATATTTATAAACAGTATAGCTATTCTTTAAATAGCATGCACATAGTAATACACTAAATTGTATATAACTTGAAGCATATTAAAAAACTACATTTAAAATGATGATGGGATAAATAATATTTTATAATAATACTGAATATTATTTTATAGAAAATTGGCAAGTAACATCTTCACTTTTGTTAGATTTTCTTGCACACTTATAAGGTGCTACATATTTTAAGTTTTGAAAATGGCATCAAACTTCCCTTAAATAATGTACAGTATTAACAAATAAAATAATGTTTAAAGACTAAATTGTTATTTCATCTACATCAGCATCTACTTTGTATGTATTTTAATAGATATACCAATACAATAGTTCATATATTTTTTCGGCATGCTTTTATCATTCAGTGTTATGGTTATAACTTGCATCCATGTGATATATACCTGTCATTTATTTTCAATTTTTTCAGTACTTTATCGTATAACATAACTTACTAACCATTTGATTCGTTTCTGATTTATTATTAATAAAAAATCGCTGCTTTGTTAACATTTTTGTATATGTCTCCTGGTGCATATATGCAAGAATGTTGCTAGGGAATATGCCTGCATGTGGGACCATTGGGTCATATGTTCTGTGCATCTTCAGCTTTACTACATACAATCAATGATTTTCTAATGTGGTTCTACCAGTTAACACTCCGACAAGGAGTATGTGAGAATTCTTATCACTTCAAATCCTTCCTCATTTCTTATGGAAGAATAAAAACGTTTATTTAATAGGTGAAACTGAGCTCTAATTTATTAAAACTTTTAAGAAAAAGGTGATAAAATTTTTATAATCAGGACAGTGTAACTAAAATGGTTTTGGTTTCAGATTTTTAAAGAAAACTTAAGTATATGTGTGGACTATTAAAATCTTATCTTTCAATAGAAGGTTAAAACCTATCAAGTCTAGAAAAATCTACTTTTTAATTGTTTATTACTTAAACATTTATCTCCTCCCACCCTCCTTTAGTCCCAGGTGCTGTTCCCACTGAATCCATACAAGGAAGTACCTTTGAAGAGAAGATATTTCTTCAGTGGAGAGAACCAACTCAAACATATGGTGTAATCACTTTATATGAGGTAGTATACCTGTTTGTTAGTAATTTTTATTAGAAATTATCATGATAATATAGGCTATCTAGTATTTAAAAATGAACAATTACATAATATATTTTAAGAAGTTTAATGCTTTCAGTACTTACAATGGTTGTTATATGGAAGAAAATTGTAAAAATAAGTTTTTGAATTATGTATAATTTGAGGATTTAGCTTTACAGTGAGTTTGACATTTCCAGATTATGTGTTATTGTATGTTAAGACACAGCATTACATTTAAAAATTATCTTTATTAAAAACAATAATTATTTTGAAACATGCATTGATTATAAGACAACCACAGAACCCTATTCTTGCTTAGCTATTAAATATTTTACTATTGAATTATAGAAGGACACTGATTATCCATTTAATAAGGTCATTAAAAATTGTCTCGGGGTAGCAATAGAATAATGTCTATTGGTTTCTTAGTATTAGCAAAACATCCTTTTGACTCTGTGACATAGTTTTGTCTACTGAGGCATATCAAATGGCTGAATGATAGAAGAGAAGAATTTGATGAATTGTTCAAGGAAAAAAATAACAGCAATAACGGGGTGACATTCATTATCACATTTGTGTGAGCATCATTTCACTATGCCTATTGTCATAGAAACAAGCAGGTGTGTTTTTTTAAGCTAGCATTTATTTGAATGCAAATTTAACAAAATTATATGTTGTAAAGTTTCTAAAAATCATGGCAGATCCTCATATGGAACCTCTGCTTGAATACCTTTCAGAACCACTGACAAAAGCCTATACAGATGAGCTGTCAGACAGTGATCACCGGTAATCCTCTTCCCCGACCAGCTAGCCTCATGTTTATGTTTCCTTATAATTTTTGAAAATTGGTGTTGAAACACACAAAAAAATTAATTCAAAGCTAAGTAAAGAAAGATAAAAGAAAAAAGTTGATTTTGTGCTGTTGTCGATCCTGTTCATTGGCTGCTTCATTGTACAAGAATTGAATATTGTGCAAATTCAAGGCTCAGCTTTTATAGAGCTAAGTGTTGTAAACAAATCAAGTAAGTTCATATTTTTTTACTCAGTGATGAGAATCTTTTAGTTTTTATTTTTGGCTTCATCACCATTTTTAGGTCTTAGTTTTGGGATTTTTACCTAGTAACAGGATTTTTAACTAGGAAACATACAATCGTTGAAATGAACCGTAAGTACCAAGCAATAAGGTCACCTGTCCTAAAAGCCACATGTTTCTATCTAGACAGACAGAAAATAATAGCAAGAGTCTTTCCTTTTAAACCCATGAGAGATATAGCTCTGTGTGGTAAGTCATTTTAACATAAAAACAGTGGGAATAATAATAATTCAAAGGAAAAACCCATTAATCTCTCTGATTCTGCAGCTAGAACCTCCCTGTTAAACACTGATCTAAACACTACCCCAATGGGGGTGTATGAATGTGTCATAAATCAGGGCTTTAATCAGACATGTGTAAGTAGAACAGATTGGTTGAGTTTTCTCAGGACCAAAGGGGAAAAATGTGATCTAGGCTGTAGTGATTAAATATAAGCTTTCTGGCCAACAAATCTTTCTCTGTTTCCCTAATGTTTTCTGCAAGTGTGAAGGAAGGGAGTCCCCGGGTTCCTCCAGGTAGGCCTTAGCTGGAGTCTCAGGAGCAGCTCTTCTTGAGCTGAGATGTGCCTTTGAGCTACGACTCACCCAGCCTATGCCAGAGTTTACAACAGGCACACACAGCTTCCTCCCATAGCTGAAGATTCATGTTGAACCAGACTCGGTCCCTCTCTGAAGAATCACAGACTTCTGAGACAAAATCATGCTAAAGAAAAAAAACCCACTTTGCCCCAAAAGAAGCAGGGACCATAGCAACAGAGTATTCTGTCATGGAGTCACATTTGAATACTGGTAAAAATCAGAAGGTAAGATAAATTGCCATGGTTGGAAAAAAGTTTAGTAACCAATGACACAGGTGTTTCTTTAGGGAAGGCAGCACACAGGATAATTTTTGAAGGAAAGGAGAAAAAACAGATGGAATATTGTTGATGTTTGTGCTAGACCATTCTTGCTTGGCTATAAAGAAATGCCAGAGGCTTGGAAACTTATAAAGAAAAGAGGTTTAATTGGCTCATGCTTCTGCAGACCGTACAAGCATGGCATCTACATCTGTTCTGGGCGATGGTCTCAGGAACTTTATGATTGTGGTGGAGGGTGAAGGGGACCAGGCACATCACATCGCGAGAGCAGGAGCAAGAGAGAGCAAAGTGGGGGAGGTGCCACACTCTTAAATGACCAGCTCTCCTGTGAACTCAGAGCAAGAATTCACCTTCACCAAGGGGGCAGCCCAAAGCCATTCATGAAGGATCTACCCCCATGACTCAAACACCTCCAACATTGGGAATCACATTTCAACATGAGATTTGAAGGGGACAAGCATCCTGACCATACCAGTGTTGGACATGGGTATGCTGTGGGTTTAGGTTATTCTTAGTTCTCTCTTTGCTTATTATGAAAGATACACAAAAGCATTAATGACTGAAAATGGCTAACAGCATTGTTTCTTCCAGGAGTTACACAGTTCACAGCCTTACATGATTCTTCCGGTTTTCTTCCTTGCCTTCTCCTTTATACACCTCTAACTCCATTCTCAGCCTTTCAGCACTAGCCTTGCTTCTCTGACTTTCTTGTCTTCATTCTGGCTCAAGTCCTTCTCATAACTTGCCCCTCCGCCTCAGCCATTTAATTTTATCAGTCATCTTGCAACCTGGGTCTATCAGTATACCTTTGCTTAATAGCTATCAAAAGCTCTTATTTTGTTGAGTTGTCAGTTTAATACTGCCCTCTGAAAGAATACTTTAAGTACAGAAGTACTCAAAATAAAATATCCTCACTTCCCAATTTTACTTTTCGAAGGTAACTATTATTAACAACTAGATACATGTCCTTCCAAAATTTTCCAAGTTATAAACTCTAGTGCAAATTCATTAATGAATATAAAATGGATGTAATTTAATAAATGTTATCAAACCCATCATTTTATTACTTGAATGAAATGCCATATGAGACTCTCACCTTACATCATACAAAAATAAATACCAGATTCATGCTCTAAACACAAAAGTTAAACTTAGAAGAACCCTCTAAGAAAAATATAGGAAGACATTTTTGTCATATATTTTTCTAAGCTTGATATAAAACTCAGCAGTCATTAAAAATAAAGATTGACAGATGGTATGTAAAATTTTAAACTTCTGAATGATGAAAGACACAATGAAGGAGGTCTGAGTGCAAACAGAAGACTTGGAGAGATTATTTTCAGCACTTACAGTAGTCAACAGGCTGGTGGCTATAATATACAGTGACCTGATACATAGTAATAAGAAAAATACAAAACATTCTATTAGGAAAGAAAATGGACAATGACACTTCAAAAAAAAAAAAAATCACGCAGCATGTAAGCATATGGTAAAGTACCTACCCAACGTTACTAATGATTAAGAAATGGAGTAAAGCAAGTGCTGCAGAAGTTTAAGTTTCTGTAATATCAAGTGTTAATTAGTGATGTGAAGAAATGTGTACATGCGTAGCCTGTTGGTGGGAACATACATTTTTTATAGGCAATTAGGGAGAATCTATCAAAATGTGAACATGGCATGCCAAACCTATTTCTAGAAATTTATTAGTAATACTCCCCAATGCACAAGGATATTTTGTCCAAGTATTTTTATTGTACCATACTAACTTTATGTATTTCTAGTGAGTAAATACCAAACTCCTGGTCATGAGAGTAACACATGGATTTTTTAAAAAGCTTTAGTATGTCTAAGATAATGGAAAAGGAAAACAGTAGAAAAGGTACTGTTCCTTTTCTATTGAAGTAACTGCCCCATCAGCAACCAACTGTGAAAAGAATGAAATGAGTTCCAATCTCAGGCACTGAACGCATGAGTGTGTGACTAGAGTATCGGGTGCAGTTTTGGTTGCAGGCTTTAATCAAGTAGAATGGTCTGTATCTGCCAGCTGATTGGGACATTCAGGAAGCTAGAGTTGAAGACACCTTCAAATCCTGAACCTGGATAACTGGGCTGTTAATCACCATCAGCTGAGATAGGTGGTTATGTAGAGGGAATAAGAATTTAGGGGCCATGGTAAGAAGTTTGTTTTCAATACTTAAGGGGTTCTGTGATCTAATTCAACTCTGTATTTATAGTGCCATCTCCCACTATTTTTCTTCTGGAACTCAGTGAGCCATGCAGATGGAATTGTCTTTTCTCCAAGAGCCTTCTGAGCCATTGCACACCCTGCTTTTGCTTAGATTCTGCCTGTGCCATCCCATCGCTCTCCTCCTATAGCAGCTCTGCTTTCTTTCAGTATTTTATTCAAGTACTGCTGTACTTTCTCTTGAGGCATCCTAGGTCCTTTCCTCCCCTGAAATCAGATTTAATTATTCATTCCTTTGTTTTCTCAGAATAATTACTTAAACCTCAATTAGAGGATGGTGTTTTATGCTGGCTGGAATTACCATCAAGTCACACTCTAGAAGATTTTGATTCCCCTCTACTTTAATATGCAAGTCAAAGATTGCACATTATTCTATCTTGGTTTCCCATGAATCTTTCAGTTTAGAATTTGAGGCTTTAAGTAGAGGAGGAGAAGACAATTTTGAAAAATTTCAGACACTTAACTGCAAATCAGAAATCATCAGATAGAAGCAACACTTTACTCCATCTCACCCAAATCTAACCCTCACACATGATGTTGAGATCTCGGTTTGCTTTTGACCTGGTGTATCCCATAACAGTACCTACATCCAACACAGTAGCAGCAGCGTTCTTTACAGAGACTTCATTACAGTGTTCTGGACCTTTAGCCAGGGACAGAGTACAAGTGCAGAAGCCTCCTGACTTCCTTCTGGGAGTTTCCTGCTGTACTGAAGTACTTAATAGGCACTTAATAAACACTTGTTGAATGAACAAGTGAAAAAGTAAATGCTGAGACTCGTACCAAATTGTCAAAGAGCTATGTCTGGAAACCAGCTAAGAACCCCATTGTAGCTTATTCTGCAACCACAAGGCTTTTGACAAGTCCAAGCCCCTCAGCGCCGCTGGAACAGCAAGTCCCTTAGTAAAGGGTTTCCTTGGTAGTCTCTGCAGGGGGAGCAAAGATCCCTTGTCTGAGTGTTTACAGGAACACATGCACACACCTGCTCTCCCCAGTAGTTTTAGGAAAATAAGATACTGAGTGCCAAATATTTACTGATCACAATGGGATCAGAAAAAAGAATAAAATATCAGTCACTCCTCAGAAAGAAGATATAATTACATGAAATGTTCCAGTTCCTCTGGCATATTTAAATCATGATTTAAGATCAAAGAAGAGATTCACAGCACTCCACGATTCATTGCCCAGTGAATTGTATGAGCAGTCACAACACAGGCATTCAGTGGATCTAGTGATTGTTAGGCCAGGTTTAGGAAGGCTTTGCAGATATGCAGAATGGGAACCTGCACTGGGACATAGATGGGTACTTTTTTATCCCAGTCTCATCTTTGGAAACCCTCCCTCCCTTTCTCCTTCCCTCCATCCCTCCCTTTCTCTTTCTTTCCCTTTCTCTTTCTGCTTTTTTTTCGTTTGGTTTCTATGACAGCTTTCTCTCCTTTGACTTTCTTCCTGTATTTCTGGCTCTTCTGTTGGCTTCTCCTCCTCTATCCTGTATTAAATACCTACATTCATTAGGGTGTGGTAACAGGCTACCTTCCTCTTTTTCTAAACTTTCTTCCTTAGTGCCCCCTCCATTCCAGAATTGAATATTATCTCAATGCTCATCACCCCTAGTCTTCAATTCCAGCCTAGTCGCCTCCAGTCTCAGCTTCATGTCATACGTGTGTCCACCTGACTGCCATGGGCTTTTCCAACTTGATGTGTCCACCCGTGTCTATACATTTCTCCTCATACATTCCATTCTTTTCAGTACATGGGACCATCTTCTGATCAAGTCCAAAACTTGGAACGTATCCTTTATTCCATCCTCTTTTTCTTATATCCACTCCATCACTGAGTTCTGTCCATTTTCCTCTAAGAGATCCCAATCCTTTTCCTCTCTTGCTGTCTGTACCAGCCCCACCTTGTTCCAAGCCCCTCTGTTCTCTCCCTTGTGCTATAGCTCTAGCCCCTGGACTCTGCTGTACTTCTGAGTGCCCTCCCTACTACCTCAATTGCCCTCAATCAAATCAACTTTCTACCTACAGTCAAGGTGAACTCTTTATAAGGGAAATTAGATCATTTTATTTTCATGCTTAAAAATATTCAAGGGCTTCCTCTTGTATGTATCCGCACTTCTTATCCTGGGGTGCAAAGCACTGTACAGTATGATCCTGCCCACTTCTCCAGCTCCCAAGGAACCACACCAACCTCCTTTCTATTCATGTACTGTGCCCACTCACTCCTGATTCACTGCCTTAGTTCCTGCTGTTCTTCCCCAAACTCTCAGCATGACTGACTCCTTCGGAAAGTTAAGTCTCTTCAACTTAACTGACACTTCAGTGGGCCCTTCCCCAACCACTCGAAGAGCCTGCGTAATAACCTCTCTCTCCAACAGTTCTCCTTATTTTAGCACCCTGTTTGTTTCTTCCATGGAGCTTGGTGTTTTGCTGTCTCCCCAGCTCCTTCCCACCCAGTCCAGATTCTCAGCTTCTGAAGCAGAGCGTGTGTTTACCTGCTGGCCATGGTGCTCACAGAGTGTCAGTGTCAATCAATGTTTGAATAGAGTAAATGAATCTGAATAGGTAGAGAATGTGGAAAGAGGGCTGTCTCATGTTCCAGGCAGGTGAAAGTTTATGAGCAAAAGCAGTGTCAGAAAAGCCCTATCAGTGTTTGTAGGGCAGTTAGCCTTTATCCTCTGACCAGAAGAGAAGGGAATATAATGGAGTAGTATGACAGATTCAGAAGTTGGAGATGGCAAAAGCAGGTCTGAAACACAAAACTAATGAGTTTGGGCTCTCTCTTTCTATCCATTTATGTTTCATTAAGGTTTCTAGTCAGGCAATAAAGTGAACGAGAGCACTAAGCTAGCTCCCGTGGGCAATGTCAGTCCTCATTTTAATTACACTCTGTCATAATTGTTGGATCATGTCCCCCTTCCCCTACCAGACTGATAACCTCCTTCAGGGAAGGTACGATTCCTGAGGCACCGTGTAAGACCCCCAGCTCAGAACACAGTGCTTGGCACGTGAGAGGGGCTCAATGAATATGCTTTAAATGTATGGGTAAATTAGTGAGTAAACATTGGGAAGCAATTATGTAGTCATAATCGAGGTTTAGATCCACCTCCTCAGAACTGCCTGTTCTCTGAAGGTATCCGAATGGAGGGCCAAGTAAGCACACAGTGAATAGGTGGCGAACGTGCCTCTCTCAGCTGCCTGGGGGGTAGATTTGACCTTGTCTCTTCTTGACTTCCTTAACCTTGTAGAGGACGTCTGTTAGAGGGTTAACAGATACTCTGTGTGACTCTGATAGTGTCATGTACTGCAGTGATTAATATGTACAGCAAACAGCTTTCTTGCTAAAGCTTAGTTGATTCAGCCTAAATATTCTTTCAGAGAGGTCTTCTTAATTGTAATGACATGGTATAAATATAAGAAGAAAGAAGGTCAATTATCACTTCGTATAATAACAGTGTTAGTGTTCATGCACATAAATTACAAGTAAGTTTACCTATTTAAAAGCAAGAAAAATGCTCAGTTTTGCAATTTAAAACTTTTGAATATGCCACATTTTAAAATTATGTCATTACAACCAGTAGAAGTTAGTAATCACCACTAAAGTGCATGTTCTTGAATAGTTGATGAACTCCTCAGTGAAATTCTTTTAAAAATCATTTGGAAGGGCGGGATTTAAAAGCACCTATGTTATATTTATTTTCAAACACTTCAGACTCATCCAACATGCTTTGAATATCTGCTATGTAACGAATATCATGAACACTTCTAGAACTGCACTAACTGATATGGCAGCTACTAATCACACATGGCAATTTAAATTCAAATTTTAACTAAAATTTTCAGTTCCTCAGTCTTACTAATCATCTTTCAAATGCTCAGTAGCCAGATGTGGCTAGTGGCTACATTTCCATCATTTCAGGAAGTTCTATTGGAACACATTGCTCTAAAGAAAAGAAATTAATATGACCCATAATTATTACTCTATTTGTGCATCAGGAATGACTGGAATCTGCCTAGGATTTATTTTGGAACAGATATCCTTGCCCATATTGATAAAAACACTTCAGTGCCCTTGTTCCCAATAGACAATAATCCTAAATCAAATTATAGCCACTAGATTAAAGATGAGGCCTTATCCTTGCAGTATCTTATCCGTTTGAGCTAGTTGTATATTTTCTTATTTTGTTCTAAACCCATTGTAATGTAGTTTTACAAAATGACATTTTGAAAGCAGACAACTTCAAAGCATTAGCTTAACCCTGAACTCATCCTGTATGTTCTAATCTACTGGCTTAAGTTCCCCTGTCTATAAAAGTAATAACTCAACAGCTTTGGCGGACGGAGTTCCTTCATCCTTTCACTGGATTCAGAATTTCAAGAGTCTGAGTTGGAGCTTATCATAAAGGGTCTGACAGTGCATACATCAGAAGGGTTTATTGGATAAAGATGCAATCTGAGTCCATCTGCTCCAGATATTTTATCACTTTCTTATTCTTTTGCAGATCACCTACAAAGCAGTCAGTTCCTTTGACCCAGAAATAGATTTATCCAATCAGAGTGGAAGAGTTTCAAAGCTGGGAAACGAAACCCATTTTCTGTTTTTTGGACTGTATCCGGGGACCACATACTCCTTTACCATCCGAGCTAGCACAGCTAAGGGTTTTGGGCCTCCAGCAACAAACCAGTTTACCACCAAAATATCAGGTACTCTACATTCGTGAGTTGTGTCTTTTATCAGAAGTAAAAATTTTGTCCTTTTTTATTCCCGTTGTCAAGTATGCAGAGCTCACCCACACTAACATTGTATCCAGAGGAATACCCCTGGATGCCTGAGGCTCAGACTCGTGGCATGAAATGAAGTACTACAAATATTTCTCATTTGGGAGCTTAAGATCCTCATGTTAGGAAGTGGCCATTGTTTTAGCAGAGCGCCTTGGAGGACTTGGGCATGAGGCAGGTTCTGTTGAGACACTCTTGTCCCCTTGTCAATCCCAAGTTGCCACAGCAGTAATGGTGGAAAAATCTCCGTAATGAACCATCCGAAGCTCAGCGGAAAGACAGGCATATGGAGTCTGCTTCCTGAAGGATCAGCCTCCTTGGGACCTCTGCCAAAAGTAGCTTCTGGTCCTGAGGAGAGAGGCAAATAACACGATGGTACCAGGCACTGAAGGCCTCCAGCCTTTTGGTTTTAGAGACTCAATTATGCCATCTAACAAAAGACATAATTTGAGAAATATTTCTAGGCATGTTCAACTGTGCAGAAAATGTCTTTGTACTTCAGACTAGAGGAAATTAAGCTGCCATCTGGTATGGGATATATAACAGCAATAAAAAAATTCCCATGAATTTTGTTTCCCATTTTTTCCCCTTCAGGTATGACTGTGGAAGTGTTGATTTTTGGCTTTAAATGTTTTGTTTGGGGGTAGAGCAGGTGGGGTGGAAGTGGGGGAAGGAGCCAATTCTTGTTATCAGCCATAGTTAGGTCAATAATATTTAACCTGACCTTTATATCTTTTGTCTCATTCCTTGTTTTATATCAATAAAAGTTACTGTTTGGAGTTGAAGGAAAGGAATAGTCACAAGTAGAGTATTCTAAGTGATCAGCTAGGTTTTGAGGGAGGGTTTAGAATTTTGTTTTTAAGCAATTATAACTTAAGGGATAATTTTTCATTGTATAAGATCTTATGAACACAAACAACTTGAAATGTAATACACTTGATATTATGAATATAGAATTAGCTTATAGGAACAGTATAAAGAGTTGGGAAAGAGAAAATAAATATTTGGGAAGTTAGAATAATTAGAGATTAGAAAACTGACACAGGTTGGAGAAAATGGGTTGGTAGAAGAAAGACCACTAGACTTGAAATCAAAAAATCTAGGTTCTAATTATGATTTTGTCAGGCACTAACTCTCTGATTTTGATCAAATAAATTTACCTCTGTGTACAAATTAAGATTATATTATCTAGTACATGAATTTACCATGGGGATTTAAAGACGAAATAAATGTCAATATATATACCTCAAAGCATCTTTAAAGAAATGGCTCCCATGTAAGTTATACTACGAAGATTATTGTCATAAAGAGTGTATTTTTTAGAATAAAATAACACATTTGCTATTTTTATTAGATAAGAATTCTGATCAGTATGGTTGTATTAGTTCATTCTCATGCTGCTAATAAAAACATACCTGAGACTGGATAACTTATAAAGGAAAGAGGTTTAATTGACTTACAGTTCAGCATAGTTGAGGAGGCCTCAGGAAACTTAAAATCATGGAAGATTATAATCAATGATTTTGACCATTTTCAGCATGCTAAGTTCAAATAATTTTATTGAAAAGCAAGAAACTTGGACATTTCCATTAGCCTATGCAGCTCACCAAGAATAACTATTTGATTTTTATAGTGTTAAAACGGTGACAGTTGACAGGTTATATTTTCTGTTTTCATGGACCTAAGAGAGGGAGCCACTCTTGTGTACAAAATATAATTCTATGTTATAAATTGGAGTTAATTTTTAAGAAAATTGAAATGAATTTTTAATGCTGAGATAATTCAATCAATGGAACTCAGAAGCAACTCATATCTCTTATTTAAAAAACTTTTTTGTATGTGAGACAGTTTTAAAAACTGTATTTGCAAAAAAGGACCTCGGGCTTTCTCATCGGGAGTTTCTACCTGTGGGCTGTGAAAATATGGTATGCCTTCCCACGTCATAGCTCCATGTAGTGGTTTGTCTTGTTTGTAATTACTGAAGAGCTCTGTTGCTAGCATGTAAGACTTAACAGTCTAGAGAAGGAAGATGCCAGGAAAAGGCCTTAGAAATAGGATTTACATTGGGAGGAGAACTAACATTTGTAGAATCATATTTGCCTGGCTCTGTCTCTCTGTTCTCTCTTTTAATTATGATAACAAACTTAGGGGATAGTTTCACCCATTTTTGAGAGATGTATAAAAGCACTTAGGCTGGTTAAAGCAAAACACAACTAAAAGTCAAACCCAAGCCTGTCTTACTCCAGTTCCTATGTGTTTTCCACTGTCACGCTTTTCTGAGAGCCCAGATTTTCACTAATTAATTCCAGTAAATCTCTCTGACTCCCACTGTCCTCTTTAAATCCCCAGTGGGTCTCTGATACATGAAAATCCTTGACTTAGATGCAGTAACTGTAAAGTCCAGTGATTCTTTCTTAAATATGCCTTTAGCATAAATATTTTATTGAAGAACTCATATGTACAGAAAAGCGCACCAATTATAAGTGCACAGCTCTATGATTTTTCATAAGATGACTATGACTATGCTAATTTAGCCAGAATCTGAATCAAGAAACAGAATATCACTCAAACCTTACAAGCCCCCCTCATACCGTCTCCCAACTTCAACTCAAGATCACAGAGGGCAGTATGGGCTGTCTGTTCACAGCTGTCCCTGTGATTCTGTGTAGGGAATATATGTGAAGTTTGCTCATGGTCATTGATAGCTGCAATGTAAAGTAAATGCACTGTATTCTTAATGTTCTTTGTAAAAGAAAGTAGAAACTAAACTGAGAACATAAACCAGAAATAATGAGTCTCCCATCGTACGCCTTTTTCCCCAGCACCCTCTATGCCAGCTTATGAACTCGAAACACCTTTGAATCAAACTGACAATACCGTGACAGTCATGCTGAAACCTGCACACAGCAGAGGAGCACCTGTCAGGTATGGAACAGAGGGGTGGGCCAGCTCTAGAGAGAAGAAAACTAAATCAAGTTGATTAATTCCTCCAATGTGTTTTCTAGGGATTTGCTGCAAATCTCAGCCTGCCTGTAAATCCATATCTTTATTAGCTCTAATTAAAAGTAATGACTGAGGAAAATGAAAGGGCTTTGATGTAAGGTGATCAAGTATTGTTTAAAGGGTTTTCTTCTGATGCGAGCGGGTTGTTCTTTTGAAGATAAGGAACAAAGCCTCAGTCTTTTGAGGAGGTAGTTTTAAATTAAAAGGTGACTGCTTGCTGCAATTTGGTTACCCAAGGGCAGATGACACTTTTGTTCTCAGCTCTGTTCTTTGAATGGATGTTTGGATTTTTTTCATTTGTATGTTTACTTTGGGTTTTGTGTCATTTAATTTTTAGTAAATTGGCTAATTTCTCAATTGAATATGGGATGTATATTTGTTTTTTTTAAAAATAACCAGATGATTGGAAAGAATATTGTGAAGTCTTTATTTGAACAGATTTAATTACCAACATGTAGGCCTGCATCTTATTCCATGATGATTTATATAGCTAAGCAATTATAAAGCATAACTTTCACAGTGACTGAATAAAATAAATTTATTATTTCTAAGACAGAGCAAAAGAATGCCTGAATAACTCTGGAATATCAACTTGTCATAAGCTCATTAATCTATATAAGTGAAATTTCTACTTGTTTCAGAGGGATTTAAATGTTTTACCTTTGCATTATCAGAATAGATTCCCTTCAAAGTCATCTGTTATTTTGAGTAGCGTACTTGGAAGAAACATTTACGCTGACAACTAAGGCATTATAGGGTTTGTTTTCATGTTCCTTTTGTAGAATTTGATTTCATTAATCTTTTGAAACCTGGCTATATTTGATTATGTTTTCACTTTAGTATCATAAGGCAATCAGTTAGATTTCTTTCTATTCAGTAAAATATATATGGAGGCCTTGGTTCATAAAGTCATGAGTAAAACCAGAGTAGTATTAGTTTTTGGTGAAGCTAGATTAGGGAAGAGTCACAGAAATTTTTATTTGAAAAATCTCCAAAAATTTTTATAACAACTTTTAGTTTATACTGTAGAATTATGCAACACAGTAGCTCATGTAAGGTTTTATGCTTGCTGTTCATAACTGTGGTTTGTGAGAATACTATGAAATATGCAAAAGCTCTATTCCAAATTGGAGATCATGTATCATGTTCCTGCTGTATTTCAAGTGATGTGCTTGACATTGCCCAGGCCCTCTGAGTTGATCCCTGTGAGTGACACTGAGAGATTACACCAATCCAATGGACCCAAAGCACACATGAGATGCTTTCCAAGACTCGGGTGTATCCATGGCCCTGGCTCAGACTTTTTTTTGACTTTAAAAGCTGAATTTTTATCAAATGAAAATGTACGCTCTGACCATGGCCTTGGGAGCATCATTTGTTTCTGACCCACTTAATAGTTGCTCAGACTCAGCAGTAAAGGGTCACTGGGACGGGACTTGGTGTTTTACTGCAAAGAATCACGATCATGTGAATAAGAGTTTACTCAGCTTCAATGCCTCCAAACTGAAGGAAGCTGAAAGAAAGCTTAATCGTTTTTCAAAAACAGCAGTTATTCTATTGTATTATAATCTTATATGGACACCTTTTGGATATTTTGTGTTCTTGTATCTTACTTTCAAACCCTTTCAGTTGCATTTTCATTTGCATCTTTGTATAGATCTTTCCAAGACTAAGTTTTGTTTGTTTGTTTTTGAGACAGTCTCACTCTTGTCGCCCATGCTGGAATGCAGTGGCCTTATTTCAGCTCACTGCAATCTCTGCCTCCCAAGCTCAAGGGATTCTTCTGCCTCAGTCTCCCAAATAGCTGTGATTACAAGCATTTGCTACTGCATACAGCTAATTTTTGTATTTTGGGTAGCAGGGTTTCACCGTATTGGCCAGGCTGGTCTTGAATTCCTGACCTCAGGTGATCTGCCCATTTTGGCCTCCCAAAGTGCCAGGATTACAGGTGTGAGCCACCATGCCCAGCCAAGACTGTTTTAAAATAATTTCTTTTTGGGCAATATACCTGTACGTTTTCCCAGCCTTCTTTCCTGGTCTTTACAAAGTGCCAAGCACACTCCAAAGTGCTGTTCCTTTTTCTGCCATAGGCCTCACTAAGACATTATTTTGTGGTTGCTTATTTTTACACATTTTCTAATTGTTTTTTGGAGGTTTTGATATCTTACTAGTACTTGGTGTCTTCAGGCTTCCTATTCTTATGTCTATAAAAACACAGATCCAAATGCTTGTCAGAGTCCAAAATACATAACTTTGACTGCACACGTTACATCATTTCATAAGGCCCAGTTCTCTAAGTCCGTGACAATTTTGCTTTGTGTTGTCTCACCCTCTTTTATGTTTGTCATAGCACCAAGTTTTTGTCAAGCAGTGTTGCCAAGTTCAGCACTGCTCTGCTTTTATGAAACGTCATCCAGCGTTAGTGAATATGCTCCTTGAATTTGCCAGGGGCACTTTGCATCCAGTCTCTAATACTTCTTCCTGTGTTAGCATCTTGAAATTAATAAATTTATATCCATGTTCGTTATTCACATCTGTAATCCTAGAATCATGACCAATCCTTATGGGACATCATTCAGTAAGCATTACAGGGAAACTTGCTGTAGACATCACCTTTACTGGAAGGATACCTATCTTAAAAGGGTAAATTGTCTTGGCACAAATTTGAGAGAGGAAATTATTTCAACCTCACCTGTCGAAAAGTTTTTTTTTTTTTTTTTTTTTTTTTTTTTGCAGAAAAGTGAATGCTGTCTTCAAGGGATGAATTATATAGTACAACATAATGGGACTGATTATCTGTAGAATAGATGGAAGACCAATATAGCAAGAAAGACTAGTTTGGGGGAAAAAATGTGTATAGTACCCTTGAACTAAATAGGGTATATTAAAATTCTCAATTTCGTGTAATGTTTAGACAAATAAGAACTCTGATTAGGGAATTATATGGACCTAAATATAAAGCCATAATGTAAATTAAAACATTTGAACACATCTGGAAATCTGCAAAATGCACATGTAATCAAACTGCAATAAAAGAAAGCTTTTCCCAAATGATAAGATAAATGCTAGGAGGAGGGAAATGGAAGTGAACATCTGTTTTCTTTCCTGGATTTTGCACAGTATTGTGTGTTCAGAAATACTGTCATTGTGTGATTTCCAAAACCCATTTTTTTCAGTTGATTTGATTTTTTTAAAATCCATATTCATTGATGTTGAAAATTGAGTTGAACTTCGTTTATGCACTTCACTAAGTAAGATGGTAATGTATTGATTTCACTGCAAACACTCAGCTTGGTTCATGTAGATTATTGAAATTGCACCAAACTCTCAATGTAAATGATTGTTGTCTTTTTATTGATCAAGACATTAGCTCTGTCACATAAAATTATTTAAGTCCTGAGATGGCCAAGAACACAGATTCCATCATTCCAGCCAGTATAGTAGTACCTAGATTTTTAATGTCTGTTTATGGATTCAAAGTTTTTTTAATCAATAAGATAGGGAAAAACTTTATTTTCTTTCTTTTATTTATTTATTCTTTTTTGGAAACAGGTTCTTACCCTGTTGCCCAGGCTAGAATGCAGTGGTGCAATCGTAGCTCACTGCTGACTTGACCTTCCGAGGCTGAAGCGATCCCTCTGCCTCAGCCTCCAGAATAGACATTAGAGACAAGGATGCACAGTGCCCCTGGCAAATTCAAGGAGCATATTCACTAATATGACATGACTCTTCATAAAAGCACAGCAGTGTTCAACGTGGAAACCAGGGCACCTCAAATGTGGAAGTGAAGCCAGAGAGAGATTATTATTATTATTGAAAGCACTTTGGGAGGCAAAGGTGGGAGGATCACTTGAGGCCAGGAGTTTGCCACCAGCCTGGGTAATGTAGCAAGACACTATCTCTACAAAAAAATAGAATAAAATAAAATAAAAACACATAGCTAAGCATGGTTATGTACCTGTAGTTCCAAACTGGCCATGGTTGTGTGTGCCTTTACTCAGGAGGCTAAGGGTGGAGAATTGCTTGAGCCCAGGAGCTCAAGACCAGCCTGAACAACATAGAGAGACCCATCTCTACAAAAAAAAAAAAAAAAAAAAAATTTTTTTTCAAAGAAATACAGGAGATAACCATGCATTTTCGTTTAAAACAATTTCTCTAGTTCAAGGTTATGAAGTATAAATCAAGGTTGGTTTGTTTTCTCAAGCAGCAGTAACCCATTTGTTTATCTCACTGTCTATAAGTCCAAGGGAAGAGATGTTCATTCCATGAACACTACCTTCCTAAACATCCCATTCTCTTCTCCACACAAGGAGCCTTTGAGCATGCCAACCTCATGGGGTTCTTGTGAAAACTAAATGAGTTGATATTTTTTAAAAGTTCAAACCATGCTTTGCACATACAGCCATGTAAGTGTTGACTCTTGCCTTAGCAATAGTTCACATTACACGTTTCTGTTCATAAGACCAGCTCTGGTCCTCCAGCAATTTCCTTTGTTTGTCTCATTTTATTCAATTCTAGTATCATGAAAAATCTAATTTTACATGAAAAATATAATTATTTCCTCTATCAACAGAATTCACATAAATTGGTATTTCTCTGATGCATTTTACATTTGATTGCCTGGAGCTACCTGTTTATTTGTGGATTGGCAGGTTTTTCAGGAATTTATCTTATAAATAATTAGCAAACTCCCCGCCTCAAATCTATATAATAACTCAGAAAAAAAAAATGGATGTGTTTCCCTATTGCTCCTGAATAATTTCCTAATTGTGGTTATTATCAGCTTAACTGAATCAACTTAGCCATAAAACAAACAAAATTGGTCTTCTGCTTATAACTACTCTAAAAGGAAACAGTCTGCAACATGGTAAATTTCACAATGTGGCATGAGTATGAAGAGCTAGTGAGGCATATTACTTACG